AGGAGGTCTCCCCTCAGCCTCCTCTTCTCCAGACTGAACCCCCCCAGTTCCCCCAGCCGCTCCCCAGCAGACCTGTGCTTACAGACCCTGCACCAGCTCCGTTGCCCTTCTCTGGCCACGCTCGAGTCACTCAATGGCCTTTTTGGGGTGAGGGGCCATGATGCAGTGTCCCCAAACTTTTTAATAGCCTTTTCCCACTTTCCTAGTTACCTGAAGGAAGGCAGCAAGACACCTTCCTTGAGTAACAGATTGACTTTTAAACAATCAAGAATGGTTGAAGAAAAGAGTTCAGAATCTGCCCTCACTACTACCGTCCTCAAAAGCATCTGCTTATGTCACATATTCAGTGTGACGTGTGGCCTGTAAAAGCTTCAATGTTTATCCAGGTACTCCCCAGACCTGGCGCCTGCAGGACCTGTTTCCTCCCTCCTGTAACTGTCCCTCATTCAGCTCAAAATCAGGAGAGGTGAATCCTGGAAATGTTTGAATGAGGGAAAAAAAAAATAATTGTTTTTTGGAATTCACTGAAACAAGACTTTTCGGCTTTTTCTTCATCAATTGTAGCTGGACTTATGTTGGGAAGCAATCCTCAAGTTGTTCATCGCATTGTTATTCACAGAATGATAGGAGTGACATTTATCACGGTCACTCAGGACAATGCTTTCACAACATGCACATTGCGAATCAAAATAAATCCATCTTCAGGTAACTAGTTTATTTTCAAAACTGTATGAGTTCTGGCAGAGCCACAGACAATTTTTCACAGGTGTAGTGCATAGTTAAAAGCAGGAATCATTTTTAGCAAAGTCAAAATTATCTCGTTTTGATAATTTTCAAACCAATACCTTTTCTGTTCTAATTTCAGACCTCCAGTGGGGGGTTTCCTCCCTGTAACTTTAGCCATTGAAAATGTAGACATCTCAGCTAGGTTCCACGATCCGTGAGCACAAACTGCATATCCCTCCTTCGCATTTCTGACTACCTTCCAATGAGAGAAATTATTCTCTGGATGTGCCTCAATTTAATTTGAAAAGAAAATGGGTTTTAGCACAGAAGAAAGGGAAATGAAACAGTATCATCACTGCAAAACGGTGGCTTGTTCCGTTCTTTGTTTTTCTTTCAGTGAAAGGAAAAGAAGAAGAAAGAAAATTAATTTCTAGTTAATCCAAATATGTTGGAAATCTCCTTCTATTTCTCTGTTGGGTGGAGAGAGAAACGGAGAGGAGCAAGTGAGGGGAAAAATCTCCCTCCGGAAGCAGCTTCTTGAAGATGTGTTTTATAATCATCATTCTGCATTTTCTATCTGTTCCGACATTTCGAGGGTGAAAAAGCACCAGCACAAAATTGTAGGAGCACTTTATAGGTTCACAAATCTGGGTGAGAGAATTGGGCATCTTTTCCTTTTCAAAAGACCCGAGATCCCTCTTAGGACCCTAAATAAGAGCTGTACTTTCACAGGAGCTCAAACTCATTTGCTCTTATCGTGATGCTTATGGCACCTTTCAAAGCCCAGCAGCTCTGGGCACTTGGGGGCTAGAAATGCCCTTTTTGTTCTGAGTTTCTTTATTATCCAGTTTAGTGGGATCTCATCCATCACTTGGGCTCTTAATGCTTTTACAGTAATAGCTGGCCTTTTCCCTCTTTAACACATATACTGTAAATTGAAATGATCAGCCCACAAACAGGGCTGTTGGTCCTGGCCAAGGCTCCTGTTGCCTTCTGCATCATGCATCTGGCTGAAACACAGTGGGGTTAAATCATTTTTAGCATCCAGAGATCACTGACAGGAGTAAATAAGCATTATATAACTTCCCCAAAAAAGCATAACAAAATAATAATGGGAAAATGAGGTTAAGTGAAACCATTTCAATAATGTTATAGGCCTGCTTTCAATCAATGAAAGCTGGGAAATTCAACGTCTTTAGAGGCTATCATTTCATTTTAGCTCCCTCCATTGCTGAACTTCTCTTCACAAAGCAATGAGTTAAAGACTTAGCAGCAGATTCATAATACATCTGAAATGTACTTTTTGTGTTTAATATTCACTGGAATGGTTGACTTTGCTGGGTTTGGTTATCGAGAGGAATAATAGTTTTCAGTTTCATTGAAGCATAAGATATAATTCCATTATCTTTTTTTTTTTTTTTTTTTTTTAAAATAATCTGGAAGAAGTAGAGCAAAATGGGAGAAGAAATGATTCTATAGACCCTGTTAATTATGTATCCATCATATAAAATAGCAATAATAGCTTAATAATTTTTCATTAAATAGGGCACGGGAATATTTGCAATCTCATACTGTCAAGTAAGAAATAGCTTTAAAAAACTCCACTTTATTTCAATAATGCTAACTAATTTTGGAGCAATTAACGCTGAAGTTTGGTGCCTACTAAGTAGAATTCTGACAATTTTGCTGTTCTGAATCAATTTGTGCATTGCTCCATATAGATTAAGCCTGAGTTCAGCCCCTGTAACTTCAGGGACTTGGAAGTTAGATGCCTGCTCTAAATTAGGTGCCTGAACTAGCAATATATAGTTCAGGGCCGGGGACCTCAGTCTTGTACTCGCTCCACAGCTTTGCCACCAAGCTGCTCTGTTTTCCAGCCTGTATCTGGATGCTGAACAATTGCATCATCATATTTTAAATTAATATAATTGAAAGAGGTGCCATTCTGTTCTCCCTGCAGGGAGCAGCCGTTTAAGCATTGATCTTAATTTCAGGAGGTTCAGGATGAAAATGAACTAACTCCAAGAAATTGCCAGTGCTTCATCTGAAATGCAAAACTACGTGCCTGGTGCCTGGTAAGCTCTTGTGGTAGCAGGTTCAGAGAGCAGCATGACTCTATGGTGGGGTGGACTATTTCCTTTGCTCTGCTTTCCTCTGCAAAACACCAGGTTTTGAAGATTCTCTCAACTGTAAGGAGAAGCCAGTGTACTGGGTAACTCTGAGACACCTCAGCTTTCTCCCATATGAGCATATCCCACGTGTCTGTCAAGGAATGCCATGCCTCATGCTATGGGAAAATCCCCTTGCAGACACAGAAAGTTGCTTTCCCATTCAACTGAACCCCAGAAGTGAGCAGCAGAACCATGCTGCAAAACGCAGAACAAGAGGGTTTGATCCTTGCAGAGGTGCAACGTTAGAAAGGAGAATGGCTGCATGTTAAAAACACAGACAATTTGATAAGAGAGCACAAGAAGGGGAAAAAAAACTGCTGCTGCTGCTGCTGCAGCTTTAAATTAAAATGCTGCATCAGCCAGTCCCTCAGGACTTGATAGAAATCTAATTAGTCAGACAATCTGGCACCAAATGTCCTAATTTCCCCAATCCATGTGGGATTTGTGTATTCTCTTACTCACTGCAGTTCTGAATTTCAACCTGAGCCTTTCTAACCCCTCTCTTTTTTCCATGCAGACATGGGACTCAAGAGAAGGTGATCCCTATCAAAACCTAATTGTTTTTCATAAACCTTTAATTAATTAGACCCAGGCTCATGAAAGACACTTAAAATATTAACAATTTGTTTAGAGACAAGTGCTGCATGAGGATGGCTGCAGCATCGTATTTTAGTAAGAAACCCAAATGTAATTAACGTGCACGGGTGTACGCTCAGTGTGGGGTCCAGGAGGGTGGCTGAACTGGGAGTCCCCCCCAAAACACTCTGGGAGCAGAGCAAGGACCACGGCTAGGCTGTGTGGTGCCCAGCACCACAGGCAGCTCAGAAGGATTGATGCAGCGTGGGTCCTCCCCCACAGAGGGTTAAGAGCAGTAGCAGCCCTGGGGTGGTGGGTTTTAAGAAAAAACTCCAAAAAAAAGGCATTGGAGTCCCCCAGGTTGGATGTATAGGGCACGGGGAGAACAGCAAACTCGCAAGGCAATTAGCCCTGTCCTCAGGGACCACGAGCACCTGGAGCAAGGTGCTGAGCGCCTCTGAATCCCCCTGGCACCCTTGGAGAGTGGGGATCCCAGCTCACACAGGATTAAGCCGTTCAGGAGTAACAGATTTGATTTTTTTTTTTTTAATTTTTTTTCCAGAGCGGCTATGACCTGTCATGTCAAAGCTTTTTATTAAAGTCTCTTAATCCCCAGATTATCACCACAATAGTTCCACAGGCCCATTCCAGATAAGGCCGGGCCCATTGTGGAGATGCACATTGGAGGAGTTTTAATCTGCAAATTATTGGCATGCAAGACCATGAGGGGCTGCTTTGCTGGGTTGCCCGTTGCGTCAAGGGGAATTGAATATTTATAAAGAAGACTTCAAATGGGCCATGCACTGTATTCCTCCCACACATGTGTAATCCCCATGTGGCAGAGGGGCCCTCCTGAAAGAAAAAAACCCTCCTGCGCAGCCACGACACACATGGACTCCCCCAGACACCACACAGCCTTGGTGGAAAGAAGGTGAGCAGGGCTAGGGGGAAGGGGCTGGTCCCCTCCTCCAAAACACCCCGTTTGAGCCACACAGGTTGCATGATCTGATTTTTAAGAGAGAAATTATAAGAGCGGAACGGCAGAGCTGGTGATGGAAACTTCATTTCTCCCTTGAATACCGGGGGAGGACAGCAAACAGAAAAAGACCCTGATAAGGATCCTTTGCTGACACAAAACATGCCATGTGGAGCGAAGGCTAATGCTGTATACGAAACTAATTAGCAGTTACCTTCTAGATTAAGGAACTACTCAAGCATCTGTTTCACTGAAGTGTTTTTACAAAAAGAGATGGCCCTCCTGACAGATTTGAAAATGTCATCCCTCGGCTCTGGGGGCTCCCAGAGGAGGTGCTGGGGAGCCCAGGAGAGACCATCTCCTCACAGAGTGTTTCCAGACTGGCAGGCCAAAGCAGGACGTGCCCTTTCTTCCCTGCAGTGGTGTTTGTACAAGCACCTTGTTGCCCCTGACTTCAAAGGCCCCCAAACAAAAATTCACATGGAAATGCTGCATAAACAAGTATCGATTGGGAGCGTCACAGATCTGAGCGGGGTGGGCTTAATCATAGGCGGAGCAGAGCCCATGGAACTGAGCAGAACCTCTCCAGCCCAAATCCTGGCTACCACTCACAGAGATGCTGAGCCCCTCTTGATCCTACTGAGATCCCAGCCCTGGGTCAGGCTGCAGCATCCATCAGGGCAGATCAGTCTCAGCCCTCAGCAGCAATTTGAGACCTTCTCCGTTAGCAGATAAGGCTGAGGATAGTCCAGGACACGGCTTGGCTCTCGGCGTGTCATCTCCCATCGCTCGCTAGGCGCGGATGACACCCAGTCGCTGGGGATCTGGCTCAGGATCTGCAGACTTGGACTCAGCTCCAGCTCTGCCACAGCCTTCCCGTACGACCTTGGGCCAGCTGCTTAGGTTTCCTCCATACCTGTTTCCCATCTGTTAGAAAATGACTGGGTATATTAAAGGGTGCATGTGAAGATAAGTAAACTGTGAGGCTATTATTAGCTATTACACTGATAGGGCCCAAATGTTCCTATTTTCTGTAACAGCTCAAGAACTTAAGCAGGCAGAAAAAGGCTTCAGGAAAATAAAGCACTGCCTTTGTGGGGTCTCCTCTCAAAGGAGAGAGGTGTGTCTTCCTTCAGAATCAGCTCTTCATGCATTTTATGAAATTGCAATGCCCACATTTTCCCTAACGGCTTTTGTTCCAGCCAGTGAAACAGCCTCCAGTAGCCTTTGGCTTATGGAAACCTTCCAATGTGCTTAATATTACCTGCAATGCCTGTATTAATCATAACGTGCAGGTGCCAGAGCCACCGGAGGGAAGGAGAAGGGAGAGGCCAGGTAATTTATCGCTATACGGCCCCAGCGTGAGCGGTTGCATTAGTCCAAAAATTACTTTGCTTGCTGGTTCCCAAAGTTCTTGGGAGTACAAACAGGAGAGGGGGTTATCTGTGAATCATCTGTCATCTCTAAAGCTTTTGGCTACAACCTTTTTGTGACTTGTGGAAAAAAAAAAATTATAAATACAGTGCGGGGGTGGGGGAAGTGACTAATTGAGTGCAGTAATTAAATGCAGCTCCCAAAAAACCTGAGCATGTTCCTTCAGCCATCAGCACCCTGAGTGAGGGGTGAGAATGCCTCCAGGATTTGCCAGGGTTGGGTTACTGCAGAGCTTTAGGATGAGGGGCAGCATCATCTGGCAGAGCACGTTTTCATGTGACGCAGTCAACGCATGGGCAAAATACTGGGTTTTGAAACGTACAGGCCTGGGCGGTGGTGCTGAAGCAGGCAATTAGCTCTTGCTCTTGCCCCGTTTGGGGGCAGCCAAAATAAAGATGTGTTTAGTGCTGTGAGGAAATGTAGGGCAAGGACTAATACCAGCAGGCAAAGTCAGAGCGTAACGCAGTCACCTGGGCCACCAGATTTGCAGGCAAGGCCAACAGCTTCCCCCAGACATGTAAAGGCACTAAATAAAACTGGTACCCAGCTTGGAAAACTTCCGCTCCAGATAGTAAAACCTGCAGGATAAAATACCAGAATCAATATATCCCGGATGCCAAATGAAGCCATTTGTATCCACTTGTTCCCTCCCTGGCTCAATTAATAAAGGCAGCCAAAGAAATACCGAGCACATTTCCTTTCAGAAATCTCCCCAAACTTAGTGACATTTGGAATCACACAAGACAGCTGCACCGTGAGATAAGTTAAATGATGTATTCAGAAATGGCTCGGTTCAGAAGGTTGCATCTTTCATAGGAGCCTGGCGCCGAAATCTGTGTTGTGTTCTTCAAATGTGGAATAACTCTTCTTTCCGGTTTACATATATTGATGAATACACTTGAAAGATGGCCGGATTTCTGTATAGCACAGTGCTTTCTTTTCCTGACACATGGATCCATCTGCCAACATCACAGACCTAATTAGTACTCTCTTATTTCTATTCACTGGCTAGTAAGCATGTGGCATCTTTCCACAAGCCTATAAATCCTCACTCTACGCAGACATATACCATATTGCGATGGGTGGGTTATAACCTCAGTGAAACTGGCAGTTGCAGTTGCCTTTCCATTGAGGCTTAATGTCATGATAGCCAAAACAAGAGAGACCATCACCCAAAACACAGGCTGGCACAGCAAGGCTGGGGATGCAATTCTGAGTTTCCCAGCTCTCAGCTACCACATCCCTGTCCTCAAAGAGCCACACACACTGCTTCTGGGTCAATACAATTGTTTACAGGGTCATCGTTGAAACTGGATCTGTGTAATGGTCAAAAAAAAATCCAGCACAGAGGCTTGGTTGTAAAGGCAGATGTGATTTGTGCAGTTTATTATAATGTATCAAATGCAAGAGGTAGGAAGAAGAAATGGCAAGGGCATGATGAGCACTGGAGACCCAGCTCTGAGAAAGGAGAATTAGGAAATCCCTTAAATAAAACAGAAAGAAGGTAGAGGTATATCTGCCTTCAGTTCTCCTCCAAACAGAACAATGCACAACCCCTCCTAAATCTGGTCAGCCCCGCAGGTGAAAAATATTGTGTGAATATGCACTAGAGGTTATTGTTCTTCCCATGCTGGGGAGAGTTATTTGGAAGCCTCCTGCTGGTGTTAAATTAAATTACCCATATAAATAGCACCGGAGGTGACGGACAATAGATCCCACTGGTTTGCAAGCAGGCTGCTCTATAATGGGCTGAAAGGTAGAGCTATTGTAACATGCTCTAAAAGGCACCTATTTAAGTTAGATCTCATCAAACTTCCACCTGGTGTAAGTTACTTTACAGACCTCCCCCTGCAACGATATCCAACTTCTGCTGTGCAAGAGTCAAGCCTACCAAATACCTAAGGAGTCAGTAGCAAAGTGCTTTAATTACTCTTACGGTGTTATTTTTGGATTTCCACTAATTTTGCTAATAATCCATTTGAGTGTCTATATTCATATTTCTAGCATTTTCAAATAGTGTTTCTTATCAAAAAAAAAAAAAAAGCCTGCTCAACAATGACTCTTTTTCTTTCTTTTTTCTTAAATATCTTTCTTGCTTTGCAAGGTTACTCCCTACTGTTCCTTTTTACGAATAAAACAAGAAGTTAAAACAAGTGAGAGAATGAATTTTCCCCGGGGAAGCTAACAAAATTCATATCCCATCAAGCTTACCAGCAAGCAGCATCTCAGGGACCAGTGATGCCTGATATGTGCATGTGATGTAAAATGCTTGAAATGTATCATGAAGAATATATATAGTGTTTGCGTTGCTAGAAAAACAGCAACAGCAAAAGGCTTGGTAGTTTTATGTTCTGTCAGGGGTATGGGTGTCATTACTGGACTGGCGCCCACCAAATAAAGGCACAGATAGGATGAGGAAAATTGGAGGTTTATTTTTTTAAAAGAGAGTAACTCCAAGCCAAATTAACCCCTGATGTAAAGTCAAGGGTGCTACTGGGCAACCAAAGTTAGCCTGTCTCTTTTGCTTTGTTTTCCACTTATTTTAGAGTAGACAGCCTGTTTTTATGTTGCTGGCCAAGAGAGAGTGTGAGGATTAATAGTCAATTGAAGGCTGTAAAGTGCTGCATTGCCGTGAAGTATTTAATCTAGATCCTTTTTGTGTTTCTGGGGACGTAGCCTAAGATGTCTAAAAGAAAAAAGGTAAGGCACAGCCCAGAACTTGCAGAGATGTAAAAAATTAGAAAAAAAAAAAAAAAAAAAAAAAAAAAAAAAAAAAAAAAAAACAAAAATCTATCAGAGAGTGTGAAATTCACCTGGATCCCTCCTAAGGGGTTTGCACATTTGTGTGATTAGAGTCATATTTATAGGAAAATCTTGTCACTTCTCCTCACACTCTGTGGGGCTGTAAAACACATCACTGCAGCTCTCAATTTTTGGAAGAGCTGCTGAAAACAGGAGAATGTGTGCAGGAGGGACAAAACCTGTCGTTCAGGAGGGTGCCCCAGCCCGAGGTCCTGCCTCGGCGTGAGCAAGGGCTCTGGGTTTTGGTCACAGCGAGATGCTGGCGTCCGTGTGCCATGGGATTACACGAGGGGCACTCTGCTGGAACAACGCAAGCCAAAACACTTTCGGATGCCGCTCCAGAGGCTCTGCCTGGTGTCATGGGACACTCTCATTTTGCCTCTGGCCATGGTTTGCAGTGCCAAAGCACCGCAGAGGGGCCAGGGAAGCATCCCCTTTCTCACTTAAAGGGTCCTGAATAATTCACAAGAGCAGGATTTCCTCCTGGCACCAACCTGTAAGAAAACAGCTGGCATTAAAATGAATGAGCAAACAAACAAACAAAGGCTCCATTAAAACCTGACATCCACAGTAACAGGACCTGGCTCAGATGTCAACTTAAAAATCTCAATGATCTCTGAAAGAGTTATAAATCTAGTAATTGCAGTTGCTGCAACCAGTGATTTCCCAAGCACTTCGTGTCCTACTCAGGCACAAGTGGTTTCATGAATAAACGTGAGAGCAAAGAAGAGCCAGAGGGAGTAGGAGAAAAGGTAAAGAGGCAAAATGAAAGAGAAGAGGAGCCCAAGCCTGTGCTGGCAATCTTCCTGCTCATCTAAATTAATATTTGATTTCTGAGCATATCACACAAGGCATTGACAGATCCATTTCTCTTGCAGGGCTGTCCAGTTTTATACATTTCAGGTTGCCAGTGCTACACTGCGAAACCTCACCCAACCCATTTTCCCCAGCCAGAGCTCCTCAGGCAAAAATGGGGATATTTCTTTTTCCAGTTGTCACAGGGATGTGTTGGCTAGCTAATATATATAAATTAAAAAAAAAAAAAAAAAAAAAAAAAAGGCATGCAGAAAACAGCCAGAGCCCTGAAGTAAAGATAAAAGCCTAAACAAGTGCACTGAAGTGTAAGGTTAAACGGAGAGGGAAAAGCCATTAGGGACAGTAGGGCTTTGGAAAAGAGTACAAATAATTCTTAAGGAGAAAGGGGTGGTAGTATCTTAAAGACAAAGAAACAGAAGTCAGACAAACATGGAGAGCTACTGTTAGAGCTCAAGACAATAGAAATTACTTTCTCTGGTCAAAACGGACTCTGGCTGAGAACTCTGGTTCTGAAGTAAGATGGTATTCCTGACTCTGTACTCCCTGGCAAGACCTGGCTGCCTGAACACAAACAGAAGCAATGATGTCACCACAAAAATAATAAAACAGCAATCGTTTTGTTGGCTTGTCACATATTACAGCTAATTATTTAATTACTCTAATTTAAAGTTTTACTAGATTCAGCATCAAAGCATAAAAAATCTAGTGATTGCGGTGTCAGAAAGGAATAATATAATTAACGTATTTAGTAGTAACATATTAAACTGTTGATTGCACTGCATTAATCGGCAGAGATGATATGATACATGGGAAGCTATATGAAATACATGTCTGCACGGGCCTGCGCTGTCTGTCTCCCCGTGCCATCACTTACAGGCCCGTGGTGGGGTGGGAGGTGCAGGTGTGGAGGAGAGCATGAGGAAATAAGCAGACCCATTTCTGCTGCGAGTGCCTGGGGAGGACAAGCTGGAGATGAGCTGACAGCATCGTCACAGAGGCGCACGCCGAGCACAAGGCTTTGCACCACCTCGGCAGCCAGGCCCAAAGCGCAGCTGACTGATTTGGGGACGTGTCTGGCTGCCATGCACCAGGAGGGCTCTTTGCCCCAGGGATGTGCTGGAGTGGCCCTGAAGCTGCTCAGATTTACACAGACCTGAGCCCACAGACCTCAGCTTCACACGCTTTCTCCCACATAGACACATACCTCAGATCGAAGAATTTAAATGAATCAAGGTCTAATTCCCTGAATTATCCACAAGACACCAAATTCAGAAGCACTCGGGTAGTCAAATTCTTGAAGCAATAGGCCCTTTATTATGATAGTGCCCTCCAGAACTGGCTTGCTGGTCACCAGGCAATTAGAAGTAGAGAAATGGTTTCTGCCTGACATAAACTAATAACAGTTATTTTTTTCCTCCATTGCTCCAGAGCCCGGCAGCCAACAGAGGGAGCACAAATTCCTGAGCAGCGCTACATGCCTGGACTCTGCGATCCCCTCGGCTGTCTTCGATTGCTGATCCTGCTGGCACACAATCTAGGAGGCAGCAAAAGGCGCCAGCCTTGGAGGAATAATATGCTCTTAACTCCCTTCCCCTGCAACAGGACACGGAGCAGCTCAGCCCCTCAGAGGACCCTACTCCAAATAAGAGTCATGATCTGAAAATATGTAAATTAAACAAGACATCAGAAAAGGCCAGTCTGTAAAAAAAGGGTGCAAAACAGTGAGCGAGGATAAGGGTTCATATTTTTAAGCTTAAGCTCTTCTACAAAATACTTCCCTGGTCACAAAGGGAAAGACAGCAAATGGAGAAGATATTAGATGAAACATATGGGCAAAAACAGACACACGTGTTTAGTAATTACACCACTTCATTTTTTCAGATTAATTTCTGTCTGAAAAGAAACACCATCTATTCCTTTTTTCTCCCTCAGTAAACACAGTGGCCTGCTTGCCTTTCTTGTGAGACAAGTCACCCTCTCCAGCATCATGTAAGCACACGCCCCCAGCAGAAATGCTCCCTGCATCAGTCTGGTTTCCAGACCCTCATCTATCCAAATGCAGTTTGCTGTCCAGCCACCCTGGTAGAGCTAAGTAAGTGGTTTTTTATGGTACAGCTGTTTCTTTATCCCAGCTGAAAATGACATTATACTATAGCTTTATTGAAAAGCTATAGATTATTGTTAGTATTCACAGACACAGCCAGGTTTGAACTTCTCAGTGTGCTGCTTCTTAGAGACAATCCGGCTCCTGGGCTGCGATGCTCGGAGCTGAACAAACTTTGCAGGGTTTCACAACAGCAAGTGAGAGCTGCTGTGGGCAGCAGAAGGGCACATCGAGCTGATCCTAGCTGCTACATTCAAGACTGCCCCAGCTGTGTGTGACTTCTGAGCCACACATAAATGAGGCATTGTTGCAAGACTAGCACAAACTGTATTCTTCAAATTAAAAGAAATCATTTACTCATTTTTTTCCCCAAAAAATAACAGAATTCGAATATATTATTTGAAAAAATACATTTTCGTTTTCCACCTCACTGCGTCCAATGATTGTGGTGTGATTATTAAACACTTCATAAATAATAATGTGACATTTTCAGATTGTGCGTCTGATTAAGCAGCCATTCTTCTCTCCCTGACTGCAACCATGGACAGATGAGATTGCTGCAGACGCAGCAATCTTTGTGGCTCCTTCCCTGGGGAACAGGGATCAGAAGTCGCCCCTGTAACCCAATTAAATCCAAGAGGATATGAGCTGATCACTTCGGGCCAGCTCCAAAACTTACGGCCATTGATGAGAAATCCTGACATGAACTTCTCTGAACTGCAGACCTGACCCATGAACACAGCTTGATGCATTTTCTAGGGAGGGTATTCTACACAGTGAGTCACTTTCTCTGCAGTGGGCAGTGATTTTGCTCAGTTATGGTTTGGTATTAGGAAGCCTGTTCTGAGAGCAAACAAGCAGTTCCAGATGAAAACAGAACTAAATCCAGAGAACTGAAATATAAGAGAAGACAGGTTTCATCTAGAAGGAAAAAAGTGAACCTGTGAGATAAACACTCTCTCAGTGAGGGATCGGAGTACTTTGAGGATCAACGTGTTGCAGAGACCCTCCTGAACCAGTTTACTGCCCCTCTTTCACAGCAAAAAAAACATTTAGTGAAGTTATATATTAAATAAAGAGCCAAAATCCAGTGGCATCTATCCTTTGATTATTCCAGTGCCTATGATGCAGCTGTGCCTCTCAGGGCTGTCACACAGAGTAGCGCAGATGTCAGTGAAAGGGACAATCTCCTAACCCAAATTCTCTCTTGTCTAGTACAGCATTTGGATGAGTTAATCCCATTCGGAAAACCCAAATGCTTTCTTTTTTTCTGAGCACAATCACCATTTCAGAAAAA